CCTCCACCACCTCCACCACCACCTCCACCACCACCACCACCACCACCACCACCACCACCACCACCACCACCACCACCACCACCACCACCACCACCACCCTTCATCATGCTCACCATTTTTTAGCACCATCAGTGTTGTCGGCAGCGTCATGGTGCTACTGCCGATTTCCCCCCCCTCGCTCACCCAAGACTAAAAAGACGACAAAAAAGCAGAGCTACAAGAGCAGCAGCCGAGGCATGCTGGATGATCAAGAGCGAGTTTTTCCAGCTGGAAAGTGTTGTCCTGACACCGTGTCGGAGATCAAAATGATGAAGGCCTGGACTGGTAATTGATGGGCAAAATCAAGGATGAGGCGGGTTTTAGCTTGTTCCATAACACGGACTGTAGACTGTACTCTGAATAGCTTCTTTGTGTGACAAGTAGCCAGAAAACTTGACCGTCTTGGAACCAAGCAGCGAAAATCTGAAAAAAAGGCATGTGTCTTCCTTATTTGATCACTCCGTCGCCTATCACAGTCCCTCCTGCCTGGACGACTTGACAGCGTGCTTTTGCCCACCTAAACAGCAAACGGCTGCAGGAGGCGGCTTTGACTTGGGTTGAGGGGGCCCGCGAGAGCGAAGGCTGGTCTCACAACATCGGCTTGTTTTTTCATGTGTACGGCCACAACAGCCGCAGCCTAAGCTGCTCTCAGCCTTGAATGTCTGCAGACTCATTTCTTTGTAAGTTGGGAATGAGGGGCCGCCCTTGACTTTCATTCCCCACAAGGGGCTTTCTGTTCCAGTACCTCACTGCCCTCTCACCACCGGAAAGGAAATTGCAGTATCAGTGCATGCTGCAATAACAAGGTGTTAATTCCTTGCACCTGCACGTGGTGGATTTGGACTTTACTGGCCCCAGCTTTGAGAGCCAGAAGCAGCCCAGCAGCATTCAGGCGTATGATCACAGTTTTCAACAAACAGAAGCAGGGAATGCTTTTCCAATGGCCATTCTTGCTCATGAGTTGGCAGACTTGTCGGCATGACAACCATGAGAATGGCCAGTAGATGCAGCCGTGAAAGCCAAGGTTCAAGAACTTGCCAATCGATGCAGTGCTGCAGGTACTGGAACAGGACACATGCCGGCAGAGTTCGCACAAGATTTGTTGCAATAACCTTGACAAGACTTTGACGCTGTCATCGCTAGTTTAATTAAGGTAACATCATGGTCAGGATGTGTGCAGGCGGATGCAAGAGAAAGTATAGGTGCTGCTACTTCAGAAGAAAGACTCTTGTAATGACCCTGTTGAGGAAGCGGCGGCCACGCCAGAGGGCTGTGAGAGAAGCTTGCTAAGCTCACTTCCTGCGATTGAAGCGTCTTGGCGATCATTGGTATAACTATGCCTGTTGGCGATGAAATCCAGTAATTGTGTCATCATTTCTCAAATGGTGATCATTTGCGATTCTTGCTGTTTACGACCTCCAGTACGGTTTTCGGGGGCCAGGTGAAGTCTGGACAAGCTTTGTCAAATTGCCTGCTGCGACTCCAGTTTGAAAACATTGAAGTTGATCCTGCTCCTGAAGCGCATTACTTCCTGAAGACCCCATATTTCGCTTTTAAATCTATCACGCTCGGAATTTCGATAGGCGTGCATGAGAGTGCACGTTGATTGTGGGCTCTCTTACCTAATTGCAATTGGGCACTGTTGAGCGTCGCTCTAGAGTAACCAGAGATTTCTTAGCATCCTGCAAGTTTCGGCTTGAATCAAACCAAACTGAGGACACAATCGACTTGAAGCAAGAGACCGTAAAAGCGACTCCTATCCTGAATACCGCAGATTTATACCGTTGCAAGGCTGCAAGCAAGTTTGCTGCTGCTTACTGTTTGGCAGACTCATTTGTCGCGCCTTTTGTAATACATGGATGCTGTCCAGCCAACTTGCCGGTAAGGAAAAGCTCGACTGAAATTTCTTGAGCTTGGTGGCGTGCGAGCTTTAAGAGACCAGTTGACGAGACAGGGATTCCTGAAGGCTTGGAGACTTCTTGTGAACAGTCTGAAAAAGGTGAAAAGGACCACATGACAAGTTCTCGGAAGCTGTTGTCTGACAGGCACACAGTCCGAAGCTGACTACAAACAACAAGCCGTTCAACGTGTTTGTGCCAAACTTAGATGGACGGCTGCATTCAGTGGGGCGCTGCATGAGGTATTGTCCAGGCTGCCAAGCCACCCACACACACAGTTAGCAACATTGAAGCTAATCGCTGAACGTGGCTCCTGTAGTGCTGACTTGGTGTTGTCGGATGTCCTATTGCTGGTGTCGGTTCTGAGGCTCGCTTGGCATACCAAGACACTGTTGGTCGATGTCTCTACACTTCCGATACCAGTCTGAACAAGATTGCCAATAGCCGGCGTGCCAGCCAGCGCGGTGATCTTTCCCCCTGAGATTCGGAGAACCTATGCAATATTCGATCGCGTGTATCTGCAGCATAGACTTGGCTACCTCAACTGACACTTCTCTGACATCTCTTAAACTTACTAGGTGAGGCAAATCCGCCAAGAACATTCTGGACCGTGTTCATATCTGTTGAGGATGATATCCATAGAAAGACAACCACTTTTTGGTGTACATTTAGGCATGCATAACTTGGTGGGCTCAGGGAGGAATCTACGAGTCACTGCGCGGGTGTTACTGATAATGTCTTCTCACATTCGGCGAAGAAAAGCTTTGTTTGTGACTGGCAATATCCAGCCGCTCCAGCTTGCTGCTGATGCCTCCCGTTTCGCTACTGCTATGATGCCTGCTGCTGCTCTGAGAATGATTCTCGTGCAATCCTCTTTTGCTATTGAATACATCCCACTTATCCACGTTCTTCTTCCTTTTCTGCTACTTGTATTTCTTCGTGCCATTGCCTCCGTGGCAGTGGTAATGGCTCTGCGACTGCTAGTGGTGGGATGGGTGGGTGGGTGGGTGAGAGGGCACGGTGGCAGTGGTAGCGGCGGCAGCAGCAACAAGGATGATACTGGATCAATTTGATAAATGGCCTCTAGCCCACCCTCGCCGCACGCAACCCCTACCACCACCCCTACAACCAATCCTCCCCACCCACCGCCCATGAGTCCTCCTCCTACGTGAACTGCTGCTCCAAAACCTAGCATGACTATTGTTAATTTGTTTGCCCATATGTTGCAGTAAAGACAGGAGGGTTTGCTTCGGATGCTGCCAGTTGCAGGACAGGAATGCGGCGAGCAAGCCATGTAGCACCACCAGAAGATTGCAACAAGCCGGGCTGCAAGTTTTACATGTGAATGTGGTTTATTATTCATGCTTCGCGGAGTCCTGGTTTTGTCTACAGCACTGCAATCTTCAGAAGGACGAGGTAGTATTTGGCAGCCCCAACCTTGCTAAAGCATTGGACATGACAAACATGTGGCAAGTATAGCCCGTTCCAGTACTTTGTGATCACTTCCTGTTTCAATGCCATAGCTGCGCAAATACCGCTGAAACACAGGCTTAATGCCTGACGCCATGTTCTGCGGAAGTCTCAAGGGACTCGAGCACGCTTTCCACACTGCAAGGATGCAAAGCTCCTTGCCAAAAGAGAAACTCCTTAAAGGAGATCTCTGCTTAACATTATAAGACAAAAATGACATGGAGGTCCTTGTGCTCGTGGTGGGCGAATTGGCGTTGGATAAGGAATTCCTGCATGGAGTTCAGTTTGAAGATTGCAAACAAGTGTCATACATCTACCGGATTGTGACCGGAACACATTTGGGTCTAAGATTTGGGGTACCCTTATGGGCCTTATGGGGGTCCCAATAATAAAGGATTGTAGACGATTATCGTATTTTGGGGTCTATATTGGGGTCCCCCTATTTTGGGACTCTACAATTTGGAACCCTGCACACAGGTATGTCTTTTGCGCAGTCTGTGGTGGTGGGCATCTTTTGTCGTGGAAGTCAGAGGGGGGGACTTAGGACCGCCCAAGCATGCCACTTGAAAGGAAAAGTATAGCCGTGATAGGAACGAACATTGCGATCATGCTGATGACTGAGCAGGTCAAATTAACAGAGCGAACAGAAGAATAGTACTGGGAATCGCACCCGGTAGCACTCTTCATACGAACGCTTGTTCTTATAATGCCGGACGCTTTTTTGTCCTTGGTGGTCTGTTTTAGTCTTGAGGTATAGAACGGACCTCAATCTAGAAAGAAGCAAGAGCATGGGTGGTTTGGGACGGTAATGGTGATTGTCAGAGCTAGGGTCCTGTTTTAAGGCAGTAGGATGATGCAGGGCTTCTCAGCACTGGCATGATGAGCACAGGTCATCATGGTACCGGTCTTACTGCACTGAGAAACCCCGGCTTTAAAGGAACACGCATGCCTCTCTGGTAATGTCTTAAGCATCTTGCATACGCCAACATGGCTATCATGATTACCACGAAAAAGGGAGCCGAGGATGAGAGGAAGACAGGTGCAAGTCCAACGCAGATTGTAGGCACAGCAGCAGTGTTTTAGCAAGAGATGCCACAGGACACAACTCCTAATCCAACGTGGTTCAAGCGTCGTATAGGTTGCCTGGCCGTCGCCACTTTGTCATGGGTCTTTGCATGTTATTGCTGCGACTGTTAATCGCGGCTTGCTTCACTCCACTGGCGAGAAGTACAGGTACTTGCTTGCCGAATGCCATTCATCCTAATCAGAGGAAGAATCTGACCAATCCAGATGGCGAATCATTTCCACTGAACGTGCTGCTTCACACGTGGCCATCTGCTTTGCTGACCAGCGCAGTGTACGAGACTCTGCTTCAAGAGGTCATGGGTTACGCCGTGGCGATTAATCCTGAGAGAGCTTCCTTGACCACAGAATCTTACTATGCACTCATCGGTTGCACAGATTTCTTGAGTCCATCAGCAGACAAGGGCTGTGCGACTCGTTCTCATAGGATTCACATGGTGGTGGACAGCTGGTGGGCTGGCTTTGCGTCCGCCTATGATGTCCTGAAGGCAACTTTCGGGTCGGACACCTTTCCAATCACGCAGGGCGACATGGGCTACTCAGGTCAGTCTGCTTTGTACTTTCGCTCTGCTCAGCAAGAGGCTGCCATGCGGGAAGATGGCGTTGCGATGGAATATTTCCGAAGCTGGAACGCCACCTGGCACAGCCCGACATCCTACTTTGACAACATTGAGTCCGTGAACAAGTCGCAGTTGGGTCGTTGCAACAGCACAGGTCAGTTTAATGTGGATCAGCTCTGGCGAGACTACCTTGCTTTCAGTGGAGACCTTGATGGCGTTGTGAACACCAGCGGCAAGTTCTCTGCGATGTGTGAGGATGGCTTTTGGTGGAAGGGCCCTGCTTGCCGCAATTCTGATGAGACCTGCGTGCCATGTTTCCTGGACGAAGCCACACAGGGACTGCACGAGGCAAAGCTTGCGGTTCAGTGATCAAACTGAGTCATGTAAACTTGCAGTTCTCGAGACTATGCGCATGATGCATTTGTGGAATAGTTTTACTTAACCTCTCTCTTTTCCACTACCATTGAGTATTTCACCTCAACGCTTTGTTGACTGATCTGCCTGAGGTGGTTGTGAAGATTGCTGCTTTCAACATGCCAATGGCTGTCGCCGCTACTTTGGGATATGCTTATGTGACCTACCCTCGCATCTACAAGTCCGTGTTTTTCTGGTTCCAGCCAGATGCGACCTTCTTGGACACGAACCCTGTGAAGAGCCATGGCTTGCACAGCATGTCTGTCAACCTCTTGAGGTGGACTGTCAAGTAACGAGGTTGAAACCAGAAACCTGACTAGTTTCGAACTCACTTATCCGAACCTCTCAGGATGATTTTTCCACCTTTCAGCCAGCAAGAGTGGGCTGTTGGGGATTTGTCCAGTGAAGCAGCATCCTTGCCTTTGAAAAAGGTGGTGAATTTTCAGTTGCCCTCTCTGGCCCCTGACCTGATCAAGTTCCTGGAAGAGAGCACCTTCGAGTTGCAGAATGTGAAAGACATGATGACGGACTTGTTGGCGAATCCAAGTGATTCGCGGCATGACGTGGCATGTCGTTGGCTGAGGACAAACGAAGCCACATGGGGGCGCTGGATTCCAGACCAGAGCAGTTGCTCTCCCGGCCAAGGCATGTTCCACGAATTGCAGAACGAATATGTGGACTCAAGGTCAGCAAACGTCTCCATGATCCAGTGCAGACCGTGTCAAGCTGGTAGATTTTCCAAGCGGCTTTTGGATGCACAGGGCCTTACCCATGTCTGCGAAGACTGTCCGGCTGGGAAGAGCTTAACAGTTGCAGGTGCTACAGCATGCGAGCCGTGTGCGCGAGGCAAGTTTAAGAACCAGACTGGCACTGAAGACTGTGGCTTCTGCCTTCAAGGCTTTTACCAAGACGAACAAGGCGCAGCAGAGTGCAAGGAGTGTCCCAATGGCACCAGCACTTTGGTATTGGGCTCACCTTCTGCATCTAATTGTGGCTGCGCAAGTGGCAGCATCGACACCTCTGAGGGCCAAACAATTTGTACTCTATGTCCTGAGGGTCTTAATTGTCCCTTCATGTCCGCCCTGTCAACTCTCGCTGGCGCTTCTCCGCAGCCTGGCATAGATTCGCCGACAGTGCAGGAGGGCTATTTCAGCACTGCCGAGGAACCGTTGGCAATGTACAAGTGTGGGATGGCAGCGCATTGTCCTGGAGGGAAGCCAGACTCCTGTGGCGCGGGATTGGTTGGCATTCCTTGCGGCGATTGCGAAGCAAATATGTACTGGAGTGCCGGGGCATGTGTTCAATGCTCTGACTGGGCTGCTGGAATGTGGGTAATGTCCTTCGTGATGATTTGCATTGGCCTCATCGCTGCCTACTACCTGATGAACTCCCCAGTCACTGGCAAGGCCACGACCTTGATGACCACAACCGCGTCCTTTGGGATGATGGTGAACATGATGCAAAGTGTAGGCTTGATTGGAATGATGAGCATCAGCTGGCCAGTGGAGATGCAAGGGCTCATGGCTTTTGCCAGATTCTTTGCTTTTGATCTCGATGGCTTGGCATTCGCCTGCATGGCAGGCAGCCAACCGGTGGGGCGCTACATAGCCTCGGTACTCTTCTTTCCTTTCGGGGTGTCTTGGCTCTACACATGTGGCTGCATCTCATGGATGACGAAGGCAAGGCAGTGGGCACCCGCCAAGCTTTACAGCACCATGGGTCAATTCTTCCAAGTTGGCTTCAGCACAATGAGTGGTATGGCAATGCGACCCTACATTTGCTATGACCACCCCAATGGGCAGAGGAGTGTTTCAAGCTACCCGAACATTTTTTGTGGTTCTGATGAACACACAGCCATGGTCATTGCGGGATCATTGCTCTTAGCCATTGGTGTCATCGGCTTTTGGGTGGTTTGCCTGTATGCCGCAATCTCTATTCCGCGCTGGAGCTGCATAGGCGATACCAAGTTGGTGCAATCAGCCCGCTTCCTTGTCTTCCGATTTCGCCTGGATGTCTGGTGGTATGGCGTCCCCTTGCTTCTACGCGGTCCACTACTGGCACTGTGTGTTGTGCTGTGGCCGAACACTCCGGCGTTTCAAGTGCTGTCAGCAGGCATCATTCTCCTCATTTACGTCTCTGTGGAGATGAGAGCATGGCCCTGGAAGTCACCCCTTCTCAATGTGATTGATTACCTTGTCTCTACAGTGCTGACGGTTCTCTTGTTCACAACAGCCTTTTCAGTCCCTGATGTCAGTTCCGAAGCAAGCGGCTTCCTGCGAGGCTTCATGACGGCGTGCATGGGCTCCCTGTTCGGAGTCGTAGGACTGATGTGTGCCCTGACATCGTCGGCATTGGTGTATCGTGCTGGCATGGGCAGCAGGAACGAACTGAGCATCCTAACCCTTGGAAAGGTGCCAGCTTCGACTGATTTGGCCAATAGCCTCTTGAAGCTGAGCGGAGATTCAGAGTTGTTAGAGAAGGAGCCCTTGATCAAAAAGTTGGATGCGATGGGCGTCTATGACTTGCGCTTGTTGCAACAGTGCCTGGACCTCATTTCTTCGGAGATCCAGTCGCTAGAACGGACTACGTCAGCCCGGGTCAAGGCATCTGCATTCACAGCTCCAGCAGTGAGAGCTACCACCTCCTCTAGGGACAGCTCCATTTCCAGGAAAACTCAGACCAGGCACACCGAGAAGGAGATGTCCGACATGCCGGCAATCAATTCCACCGCAGAACCTGAAGAGCCTGAAATCCCTGTGCGTGCCTCAGACCATGACCAGGATGTTCAGACAGCTATAGTTTGAGAAATGATCTCTTAGCCTGACGCCCGGCATAAGAACTAACGTGCACTGGCGAAGCCAGTGTATTTGGGGGACTTTTCCAATCCGAAGGATATCCGTTCCTCAGACTTGGGTACCTTGTGCTGATTCTGGGATCTTGAAACCTGAAAAATCCCTTTATAAAAAAGATATGGTTAATCCTTTTCAATCTACTTGAGATACAACTTATATCTAGTTTAGAAATGATCAATACAAGCTGGGTCTACCCAAGAATTTGATATAATTCAATTATAGGACCGGAAAATCCTGCATATTAGTTCAAGTTGAATCTGAACGAAATAATACTAAAATATCGTCGCCCGCCAAAAAGGAATTTCCTTGCTTTTTCAAAACTAGTGGTCGGGTCGCATTGGATTGCGATAATTCAAAATGCGGGGCGATCCGATTTTGGCAGATCGATTCTTCATGTGATACGATCTAGTAGCTTCATTTATTCATCGGAGGGGCAAATTGGGGGCGAATTTCGATTTCGATGCTAAGGTTCTGTTATTTCGTGCTATTGGCACGTTTCTTAATTTCTAAGCTTCTATTACTCTACTTAATCGTTGACAAGGTTATAAGCTTATATTATCTGATTGGGTGGGATACGCATAATATTTTCTATCTGCTTGGTCGTTGATCATTTGGAATTTTTATTATTTATATCTATTAAGGTTATTATTTATTTATAATATTTATTACAATATTCTTAAGAGGAGGAAATAATTCTATATGGGTATATTTTGATAGATTATTCATAAATGTGCTCAGAAGTGCAATCTAGTTATGAAATTGAAGAAATTCTTTAGAATCTTATTTTTATATTAGATATGGCTTTGGGGTCTGGCGGTTTCGGGGATAGATTCTAAACTTTGAAGCTCCCTAAATTTTAAATCCGATTTCTCTGGACTCCTAAACTCGATATATGAAATATATAAATTTGATAGTTGCCATGGCAAGAGAGGGTTGCGTTGGAGAATATATGATTATATTCATCTAGGCGAATTCATTTCTTTGTTATTTATTTTTGAAGAAAATATTTTATGATGATTTTATTTTCTATATTTTTTCTTTTAAAATATTGAATTTGAAATATTTAGATTTAAATAGGACGACCTTCGAATTTTATAGATAGGATAAGATGAGTTTGGATACCTAAATTCACGTTCTTTTTATTTTCGATATTCAAATTCTAAGGATTGGAATTTAGGGTCATAGAAGATATTCAAAATAATCTAGCATCTATTCTTCTAAAATATAAGATATCAAGAAATTTTCTGAGGATTAAGATTTAAATGGATGCCAGTCTAATTCCCCGCTTCTTATAATATGATTAGGGCGGCATTAGGATTTTGAAAGGGATTGCCAAAATCTATGCGCGCAAGGCGCGCGCAAGAATTCATATGTAGTCCGTAGACCATTTTATGATTACGCTGCATTTAAAACTAGAAAAACGCCCAAAAATTTAGACGAATATCTAAATCTCAATATTTCTGTATATAGACCCCTTTCTCAAAAAATATATATCAGAATATCGTATCCTCATTGCGGCGTTCAGAGACTCTGAAGACCTTTGAAATGCTTTGAAATATTTAGGCGATTTGAGACGTTTTGAAGCGGTTAGGCATTTTGAGGGGCATAAGCGCTTTGAGGCGTTTCGAGGAATTCGGGCGCTATCATGTAGCCTTAATTGCCGCCGCACCCAATATTCCCAGAAATCTCTGTAAGCTTCTATTGCCCCGTGCGGCCGCTGACATATCTCTAAATTTCTATTTCTTTGTTCTTAGGCGCCAAGGAATTTAGGATTTTTTTTATGATTTTGATTTCTTCCGATTCAGACTTAGATATTTTGAAATTTAGAAGGTTATAGAGATTGGGCTCTTCCGGCCCAGGCTTAGGCGGTCAGAGATTGGGGAGCTTGGAGAAATTATATCGAAATAAATAATCCCAACTCGATATTGGATAATAGGCGATTTTCAAGATCATCTTTTTTTCTATAGCTAGATCGTATTATTTCATAAGAAATGATTATTTTTTTCATATGCGAGGCGATTCATCTGCCAAAATTCATGATTTTTCTTATTTTCTAAGATCGCATATAGATCTTAAAATAATATAGGAATATATATATATAGAATTAATAGATATATGAACGAAAAATCATCCGAATTTCGAAGATATTCTATATATCAATATGATTTTGAATGAATAATCAATAATTTTTTTCGACTCAATTTTTGAAAGATGGAATCAACGAAAATTTTATTGATTGATTATTAGAATATTCCGTTCAAAATCGTCCTTTCGAATAAATATATCGATATTCGATTAATATGCCTAGAATATGGTCTTCGCCTATCTTATCATATGCAAATTATCAAAATATTCTATATAGGAATATCATTTTGGCAGATAAGTCGATTAAATTTTCAAGATATTCCGCATGAGAACGTAATTTTTGAACGAATAAAATTGATAAAAGATCAAAATATCGAATTATTTCGAATGGGAATGCGAATTTTGAGAAAGTATTATCTGGAATTTTGAGGATATGCCGCACGAGATCTGGAGCAATATTAAAAGGAGAGCGTTCTATTTTTGAGATAGAAATTTATCATAGAATATCGATTTTTTGATGATATTCCGAATAATAATACGATTTTTTAAATCATATTGGGCGCATCCAAAATATTTGGGGGACGCATAGGGATGAAGATCAATGAAATATCTAAAATTAGATTCCTCCAGAGAATATGAGGAAAAATATTTTATCGAAAAGAGATATTTCTCATATAATAGAATTTTTGATGAATATTAGAATTATATAGAGAAATTCATATATGAAATATATATCCCTCTCTCGATAAAAAGATATGATTATCTATGATATAGATTATATAGATCGTATAGGATTTCGATTTTCTGATCTTCTATTAGAATAGAGATATTATCTAGGATTCAAAATTTCTCGATATTCAAAAAGTTCATTTCTTTTAGATTACGATATATTCGTCTTCCTATGATTTAATTATGAAAATATCGAAGAATCAATATATCTATTAATGATTCAATATATTAATCTTCATTTTCTCTTTATTTCTATATTCGGATATTCTATCAATCTATCGACTAGATTAGAGATTTATTAATCGAATATATCGATATTTTGAATTAATGATATAATTTATAGAATCATCTTAATTTATCAAATAATGATCGAATATCTTTATATAACAAGAAGATAAGATTTATCAATCTGCAAATGATTAATAATTTTCGAATATATATTCTATTAGGGATCGATTCGATCATTTGATTTATTTATATTTCGATTTATCAATTTAGAAATTCTAATATTTTTCAAATTCATTTTTATTTCTATCAAAATATATTGAATTATAAATAAAGAAGCTATATCCAAATATCTATTATTTCCAATAAAAACGAGATAAATGATTATGATTGAGATATTAATCGATTAATAGATCTGATAAATAATATATATATATCAATATCATAGAATGATGATTCATTCAAAATGATGATTCGTTCAATATATCGAATGATAGATCTATTAAATAATGAATCTATCAATATCGAAATGATGAATCGTTCAATTCGATAGATCAATCTAGTCGACTAATAGATATCATTAAATGAAATCAATGAGATCAGAGAATGATTAATCTTTAAATTCGATAGACCAAGAGATTATGAAATATAATGAGAAATCAACAATTTCCATGACGATGAAATCATCAAACCAATATAATTTGTTATATAGATAGATAGCGAATGTGACCATTTCTACGAAATTGCGAGATCGACCAAATTATATTCTAATCGATAGATAGATCGACGTCCCTTCCGATAGATAGCTTTAATGAAAAATTAATAGATTATTTGACGGACAAATTTTCTTTTTCAGATCGATTCTCAGATAAATTGAGATTTTAATATTTCGACGAATAGAAGGACTCCAGAAAATATCAGATTGACAGAATGAGAGATCGATAATTTCAATAGAAGATAAACGATCACACGCGAAAAATTGATAAATTTACTCCCAAATTTTCTATCGTTTTCTCGATATCGTATTGATTTTATCAAAGATCCAAGAGAAGAAATCTAATTCCTTCCTATCCCAATCCTTATCATTCATCACTTCAGAAATTTTATATCAGAAGATTCTAATCCTCATTTATTTCGTGATATTTTCTTAGATATACTTTCAAATCTTTCTAACTATGCTATAATCCAAGATTCCTCCAATCTATTGAGAGATCGTGAGATAGGAAAATCGAACGATCATCAGAACGACGGGTCGAAATACGGAGAGATTGATAAATCTATATCTTAGTTGAATAATCACCAGAAATAAATTCGTGAGAGGAGAGATCCAAGATCTATTATTTTTTCGATCGCATCTATCATAGATCTACCAAAATTTTAAGATTCCTAAACCGCGACCTATACCAATGACCGAACCACCACAAATAATCAGAGAGAGATAATCCAATAAATCAAGATTCTATGGAATATGATAGAAGAGATATAAAATCAAATCGTTAGATGATCGATATCTAATACGAAAATCGATATCCCTCATATTTTTCATTCTTATATCTTAAATATCGGAAGGAGAAGGTCCCTTAATAGATACGAATATGATCCTTTTATATAACATAGAGAATCCCTGTATAAATAATAATAAAATCTTACAAATATAATAAAAAGCTCCTAGAATTTATTTCTATTATATAATACGAAAGAGAAGAATCTGCAATAATACGTGCGATTATATTCATTCAAAAATTATAGATATCTGTTGATATTTCGGAATATCAAATTTATATTTTGATATATGATATAAACCATTCTTCAAATTGATATCCAATCGATAGACTAAATTATAATAATATCCTTGAAATGAAGGATATTGGTCATTCCGTATTTAGTTTGATAAATAATATAGCAAATTATCA